CGTCGGCGAGCCCTAAGGAACGAAGTACGTTGCTATAAGGGGGGTGTCAGAGAATCTTCGAGATGAGGGGCCGCGAGACGGGGCTCTGGCAGCCCCTAGCGGTGAGGCGGTTGCTGAGGGGGGGAAAGTGGAGGGAACGCCTGCTGGGGAGGGGGAAGGGGATCGGGGTTTGGCGGCTCAGGGGGTGGGGGGCAGTGAGGGGGTGCAAGAGGAGGGATTGGTTGGAATCGAATTAGAGGCTGAAGACGACGCCGGAATGGAGATTCCCGCCGCAGGAACGGAGAACCTTGCCGAAACCGACCAACCCTCCGGAACGAGTGGGCCAGCGAGTAATTCTGGTGTGGATGATGGAGTGAAAGCTGCACCAGCAGATCTCAAGGGAGGGGGAGCGCTGGAGCTTCGGGGGTCGGATGCCGCAGAAGCGGAGGGGGCCCAAGGAGAGATGACCGCTGCCGAACGGGATGGAGCTGTGGGGACGCATGCCGGAGATTCAGAAATAGCGGAGACAGGGCTGAGCGAAGGGGAGAGAGGCGCCGGTGAAGAGACAGGGGCGCAGGAAGAAGCGGCGCTGGAAAAGGGGGGTGAGGGAGTCTTCGAAGAAGAGCCCCCTGAACGGTCCGCACGACAGCCGTCCGACTCCGACGAGCTCAATCTGCCCCAAGTCGAGGCAGCATTGCATTCAAGAGTTACCCCCCCAGTTCCACCGCTAACCGTCCCGGAAACCGCTCCTCAACCGGGCCCGGTTAAGGAGACCGTAACCCCAACCCTTCCGTTACCCCTAACCTCGGACCGGGAAGCGCTCCCCCCAGAGGATTTTCCCTCGACCCCTACCGGCTTGCCACTTGGCAGCCCGTCATTCGCCAGCAGGGCCAAGAGCCCATCTCCGTGCCTGAGCCCCGGGTCAAGCCGCGCGGTTAGCATGGAACGCGGGGTTAGCGTTGACCCGCTCGCGGGTTTTGGTTCGCCGCTGAGCGTGCAGAGTTACAGCCCGGGGCGGTTGGGGGCGGTGTACCGGGGTAGCTCGCTCGCGCCGACGGGCAGGCGGACGGATTCGGACGGTCGGGAGCGCAGCTCGTCGTTGGACACGCGGGATGATGTGGCGTCGCAGTCAGGGCACTAGATGCATGGGTGTCTTATAAGGATGCCCATGGGAGTACACTGATCCAGCCAATGTTGTTTACAGTAGACGGGATGTGAAGTCTTGCCTTTTGCGGAACTCGGGAGTCAATCCGGGATGTACTGAGCCGGGCTGGCTTGGACGACCATTTGGATGTGCATCACAACCTTGAGCGTTTTTTGATTGATGGGCCACCCATGGCAGGTCGATCATGCAAAATGCGGGATGTTGTCATGTCAACTCTATATGGTAATTGTCGAGTCTCGATTCACATCATGGATGGCAGCTATTGTAGACAATGAGGATTCGTTAAGACCACTCCTGTGCCTATGCAAATGCAAGCTGGCAATTGCATGCGTTTTACCATGCCATTGATCGCCGCGCGGCGCGGCCAGGGCCTGCGCATCATGGTCAACTTGACCGGTTGGCGCAACCGGCGCATGGCGGCTGCCTGTAGCGGGACTGCCTAGCCGGACTGTGAAGTCCCATAATACTACACACCAGCGCACTGGCATGTAGGATGCTGTCATGCCAGTATATTGCCGGTTCAGAATCCAACTATATAGAACTTTTCAATCAACGTGGTATTGCATTGACAAGTACGTGCCAGGATTAATTAAAGCTACGTACAAAGATGCTCATGCATGCAATTGCATGTATACACGTACATGCTGCAGAATGGTCGCAACTGAGACCATCGTACATGGAATCTTTGACGTAGTACGCATGATGGGACCTGATCTGACGCGAACGATTGGATAGGGCCGCTTCACACACCCCGCGACTCATATGGATATCCTGACTCAATGATATAACCCGAGGGTTAAAGCAGAACTAGCATATACCGTGACTAGTACTCTGACGAATACCTGGCATGCTGCGCCGGAACTCATCTTTTGTGCAAGCATAAGCACTAGATGTCAATCTTACTAATCTTTCCACTGGATGTGTGAATCGCGCCCTTGTCCGTGGAATTATCATCGTTCCAATCATTCGATCGCGCGCAAGCTTCGGAGGGGTCAGCATTCAATCGAAGATCAAGCATGTTACCTTCGTATCTGTTCATGAACCTTATAGCAGGTCGAGTCAAGTTTCTGCGGCCAAATAAGCCCGCCCTAGAGGCTGACGGCCCAACGCTTTGCAACGTATACGGTTTTGCAACGTGGATTGCTATTAGCGTGGATCCCTATGACCGTTCAAAAACTACAAGTGTACAAGCTAAGAATCCAAACGCTACCCCCACGTTAACCAGTAGTCTCTTCCGTATTCAAGAAACCCACTACCTAACGGTCGTGGAGATGGGTAGCTAACCAAGCGGCTTAACCCGGTACGGGTTATTCCTCTCAAATTGAACACCAACCACTAAAGCGCCCCAAGCGCCGTGCTTTGTGGACACCCCCACAAATCAATCAATCCAATCCGTCAAAACGGCTCGGATCACAACCTAAGCCCGGCAGACACCCCGGTTAGCGGCTTGGGTTACGCTAAACCCCTGCGGCGGTGCCGAGCATTGGGCGGTACTGTGAGAGGCGCTCCATGCGCTGCGCCTTGCGCATGAGCACCAGGGCACGTGCCTCGTACCGCCGGACCATCTCGTATGACAGCCCGAGCGCATCTCCGATCTGGCGAAGCGTCGCCGGCTGGTGACCCGCTAGGCCGTACCGCCGCCGCAAAACCTCGCCCTCCTATAGGAAAGAAACGGCTGAGTTTAGCTCCCAGATCTTGCATGACCATGAGGAAAGCATGGTCGAAATCCACGACGCTGTCGTGCAGATTGACGCCGCCATATCTGAAATTTGCACCTTAGGCAGATTTGCACTCTAAGGCAAGAAAAATGGTGTTCGACACGAACACTCCGAAACCATTGGCGCTCTTCGCGAAGGGACTCAAAGTCGAACAGAAAGCTTGCATGAAGTACGCAATGCTTCTCGAAATCGTCCAATTCTTCCAAAAGACCGAGGCAAGGGCGGCAGCGATCGTCCGCACTCACTGAGATTCAACTCGAGATCCTATTCTATCTTCGCCGGAAGCTGGACAAACCGTTCCCATGAGCGCTTTAACCAGCCCCGTCCGATTCAAACTAGCCCGTCCGAGTTATCCAAGAAACAGACCGAGCCATACGGAATTGACAGCCAAGTATAGACCAGAACGATTTCTTCTTCAAATCCTCACCTTAGTGGGCAGGGTCGATATGCACTGCTCCAGGTCCGATTTCAAGTACTCCTCGTCCATCGCGAGGAACCCGTCCGGCGTTTCGGACAGCGCGCCGGACAGCGCGCCGTTCGCGAACTCTTCCCAGCCGTCCGAAAAGTCGTTGAAGGTGACGTCCATTCCACGGTGCCACTTCAGGACGTCCTTTATCAGATCGACGCCCACGTTTTTGTACTTGGCAATTTCGTCTAGTGTGGGGAGACGGCCGAGCTTGGCGGAGAGCTCCCGGCGCACCTTGTCAAGGTTAACCAAACCCTGCAAGAAAATGACTGGTCAGGTTAGCGAGAGGTCAGGTCAGCCAGAGAACGGTCAGGTTAGCAAAAGGACGGTCAGGTTAGCAAAAGGACGGTCAGGTTAGCGAGAGAAAGAAATGTAGACGAAGATCTTGACAATGTCTTCCAAGATGGGAACCGGCCTACCACGGCGAAATAACTCTGCAGGCCAGATACGCTATTTACATCAGAAACGGGAGCAATGACGTCAGCAAAACGTCTCACCGTGGTGCGCTTGACGGGGGCGCAAATGAGGACGCCAGAGCGCTGGATCGCACGGTGCAGGTACGAGCGGACGGCCGGAAGAGCATACGTCGAGAAGCGGTTTCCGAGCGCAGGATCGAACCGGTCTGCGGCGATGAGCAACCCTTGGATGCCAGCGAGAAAGAGGTCCTCGGTCGGGAGCGCGTTGGGGTAGTGCTTCATGCTGTTTGCGGCGAACATGACTAGGCGCAGGTTGCACTGCAAAACGAGGTTTGAAAAGGAGCGTCAGGTTGGGTCGAAGCGAAGGTTCGTTAAGACTTCGGGAGAAGACAAAGAGTACATATGACGGTTGAGGAGTATGCATTATGCCGTTGACGGATTGCTTCATATTGTGGCTTTAATAAAAGCGCAAAGAATGATGCTAAGCATGATGCTAGGAGGAGAAACGACAACTGGAAGCAAAGCTTTGGATACGAAATCTGCTTCTCATAAGACCAACATCCCCACTGGAACGACTCAGACCTTTCAAACGTGGGCAATGTAGAATTGGACCACTTGAAAGATGAGCCGACACCACAAAGTGACACCACACGGGTTTCAAACAACCAGCACACCTCCAACTCGAGACGTCGAATCCACACGCCAATCAAATTTCTTCAACAAGAAGCGACCTGGAATCTTACCTCCACTAGCCGTTGCCTGGCCTCCTTTCCTGCCGCAATCTGCCGCCCCAGTGCATTCACTGACACGCCCGCTGCCTTGGCCCACTGCTCCTCTGATGCAGGGACGCCCGTGCTCGCTTCTAAACCTTCTTTCAGGGTCGTCAAGGCCTGTGCCACAGAATTACTCGTTGAGTACACCTCTCCCTGACTAGCTTGTAAGGCAGAAGTCCCTGAGTAGCTCGTAAGGCAGAAGTGCCGTTGACCAGAAATTTTGGCCTGGCCCGGAATGAGCGAAAATGAAAAAAACTTCAAAGGACAGACATGCCCTAGTGAAATGACAATTCAGAGCCAAACAATTGACAGATGTCCATGAGAGATCTTTATGTCATATATGCAATGTTCAACTAAACGATCAAAGATAGGCCCGATAGGAAGACAAGCTGGGGAGGCTAGTGTCATGACCCCCCTTAGAGATGGGGGACAATACAGGCAATCAACCCTGCCATATGATTCAAAGCACAACATGTGCCCGATCAGCTCCAACCTACAGCGCCCCAGTAAATACTCACACCCTCACCTTGCTCCTCTGGATGACAAGCGCCAGCTTCTTCTCCTCCTCCGCCGTCAACAGGTTCCACTCGTTGACAAACGACATGCCATCGGCCCCCCGCCGACTCGCCCCCCCAGCTCGACTCCCAATGTTCGTGACACCCTCCTCGTAGATCGCCTTCAATGCTGATGCGTCAATCAGCCCATCGGCAGACACCGCTGCGGCCCTAGGGATTCTAATGGGGGGTGGATTTACAGAGCTTTCAGCGCCCCCCAACCGTCGGCGAACAACTTTCTTGTCCCCCCGCTTGACTCTAGCTTTGATCGTCTTTGGAGCAACGAGGCTCACCGCCTTGGAAGCTAGCTTTCGAAGCACCGGCGCCGTAGCTAAGTTTCGCAGACTGTTGCTGGTTAGGGTGCACAAACCCTCACCGGATAGCCCACCCGCGTTTTCACTGCCCCCCAAAGCACTCTCTTCTTTCCGCGACAATTCCACCCCTGTATTTATCCTACTTCCATTAACTTCCATAGATTCTAAACTAGAGCTGGCACCCGATGCTTCCCTCGCTCCCGTCTCCGTCTCTACAACACGCGACTCCAGATCCAGAGCCCTTTCTAATGCAAGATCGCTATCAAACACATCTTCCGCAAAGTCTCCAACAGCTGAAACAACAGTCTCCGCAATCTGCGGCCACTGGAGGCCCCGACCCGCACCCGCCCCCTGATCGATCACCGCAAAGCTTGACGTGTCGTCCGGCGACGGTCCAAGAATGTCCAGATCCCCGCTCATCTCAAACACATCGTCCAACCCCTGCCGCACGCTATCTAGAGCAACGCCGCCGCGACCCCTGGCCAGGATCACAGGGCTTTGGGCATTGTTTTCAAGGCTTAAACTCCAATCCGGAGGAGGACCCACAACTTCCAACTCGTCGCTCAGCGCCAACACATCGTCGAGCCCAAAAGAGGGTTCCCGATAGGCAACTTCTAGAGCTGCCGCGGCGGCCTCCAAAGACGGGGGTTCAATCGCAGCCTCCCTGACAGAAACGCGCGTTCGCACAACCCGGGGGCTGCTTTCTAAATGACGATCGCCTCCCTGCTTTGGCTGCAAAGCAGGCTCCAAGAAGCGCCTGACCCGATGAGGCCGCTTCGAGTCAAGGGAGCTTCCAGACGTTGAGGGTGTCGAGTTGACGCATGTGACGCCAATCCTTGCGCCCCTGGAAACAGCCACAGCCTCCGGCTCCGGGCTGCTTGACACTCTGCCGGACTGAAGCCCATCTCGCCAGGCAGGAGCGGGAGCTGGTGTTAAACGAGCCCAGGTGGACTGAACCAGGGGCGACGCTGATGCCATTCGATGCCCGCGTGGATTGGCCCCTTCTTTTTGCCTCGCAATTGACGCGAAAACGCTAATAGAAACTCTTGATCACTTAGGACTACAATCTGCCGCCAGTCTTAATCAAATTCAACTGTGCTCGCAATACAGCGTTCCTCCTTCTTCAATCACCTGTTGAAAGGTGCTGTCTACTTTTGAAACCAAGGAATCGCTCTCGACATGGAACATGAGAGTGTAGCCTGTAGGTTCACCGCCTGTTTGTAGGCACCATGGCCTTTCCTGAGGCTTCGGTTCAGCAGACGGCCTGGTGACGTGTTTGCTGTTCAATGGCGCTCAGAAAAGGTACCCAACTGTCGTGTCGCGTGACCACCTTTCTCTAGCACTCGGCAGTCTGCGCAAGAGTCTAGACCGTTCCAAAGTTGGACTTGGGTACATCGACAGCCACGGTGGACACTGGAAGGGGGACGAAGGCTCCCTCATCCAATTTGAGATTGTGCTTGGGCCACGTCACGCCAAACCGAGCCGCGCCCGGATTCGCTGTCGAAGCTTCCGGCATTCTCAAATTCGATTCGAAAATGAAATGTGGGCTACAGAGCTTGTGAGCGGCAGAATTCCGTGTAATCTGCGTGTCAGGCATCTGCTACGACGAATTGAGAAGGATGCAACGTCGAGCAAAGGCAATCTGGAGATCTCGGCTTGTCGTCGACGTCAGCGCTTTCAGAGACCGTTACCGTAGGTTCAAAGCCATTACCGTATCTGGATTTGCTTGCATGTCCTGAGTTGGATCCGACTTGGACTCCGGCTTGGACAAGAAGATGGATCTTTGGTCAAGTGACAAGAACTCTCAAGTTCAAGAAGGGGAACTTCCATCATTGTTGGCGCCTTTGCAATTGGAGGCCAGCTTGGCATGTGTGTTGTCTTAGTGAGATTCGAGCACAAGGTGCTAGTTGGAAGTAACCAGACCAATTGACACATTTGGATGTTTACTGGCAATCCTGATTACACAGCGCTAGGGCTGCATTCACAGCTCATCAAGGTCGCATGATCACCTTGGGTTGACCATCGGCAGCAAAGTTCTTGTGAGTAATAAGCAAGTGCCACCTGTATCAGATTGGCTAGGAGCTGTAGCTGACAGAGAAAAAAGTGGTGCAGCTCCGGGGTTGACCCAAAATGGCATCTCAGTCCGTTTGCATCAACCTGCAGTCGCCTGCGCTAAGCACATTCCAGGGCGCCCACAAAGTTGCAAAGACTGTTCAGACGAGGGCGCATTCATCTGCTGGGGTGCACTGTTGCGGGGCCGAATGCAGTCAGCACAGGTTGAGTAGCTTGCGGCAGGAGCGGAGAAGGACAAATGTGGCACACGCATTGACTCCAAAAACGGATGGGTTCTTGGGAAGAGCGCTCGAGTCTTTGACTCACGATCCCATCAGAAGGTAAGATTGCTCTGAGATCTATCGAAGATCGGTCAAGGGCCCTTTTGTGCGCTTTTAATACCCCTGCATCAGAAGGGATCAAGCGAGATTCTGATTTGTTTGCTCCAACTTATACCATCCTGAGTCATCTCTAGACCAAGTGATCTACTGAAAGTGGTGCGATTGAAAGCGTCGTTGCAGAGAGATTGCAGGAATCTGTACTGTGACGCAGGCGGGGTGTCACTCAATTGAGCAGTTTGTCGGGCTTTGCCATCAGGCAACTAGTGGCAAATCACAAAACGCTTTGCACTGACTCTGGATCGCCATGGCGCTCCAGCGTTGGCTCTCCATTCATTGCATTGCTTGGTTCGGCGCTTTTTCTCTCAGACGCCTTGTCAAAGTCGTTTGCTGGGTCTAGTTCTTTGTTATCATCACATCACAAGGCGATTTTGTTATCATCACAAGGCGATTTTGTGATCATCACAACTCGCGCTGATTCTTGCTCTTTGGGAATATTGGATCCAGACATAGGCCGTACCTTTTTGACATTAGAGGACAGCATTCTTGCTCCGGGGACCTCAAGCTAGCCACGCGAACAAGACAACTGACCGTCTTTCCCAACCTTTCTTCGAGCGATGATCACCCATCAGGAGCGCCCTTTGCCCCTGTGGAAACTTTCCATGTGAAATTTCATGGGAAATCTTCCTGATAACAGATGCAAGCTAATCAATTTGCACGAATCATCCTGTCACTGCACGGTCCTGAACAGAATGTAAAGGTTCTTACATTTAATTAATTCTGGAACAGGTCACCAGCACCAAGGAACAGCTCATGTCGAGCTGCTGTGGGTTCGTCCACTGCCACCAGTCCCGTGATTGACGTCGAAGGAGTTGTCAAACCGATCAAGGTACATATCGGCACTTGATTGAAATGCACTGTTCCTTTTCAAGTCGGATAGCAAATCGAACTTCATTCCTAAATTCAGAAACCTCATTCGGAACTCAAAAGCAAGGCTTATGTTTTGAGAAGTCATCATGAAATGCAGATAGCAAAGCAATGGGGGTGCGCCGCACATTGGACATCCCGTCTTTGGAGGCCACCAGCCATGGGAGGCTCTTTCTTTAGCAATGTTTAGCCGCTTCCTTTGAGCCAGTTTTTGAACAGTGATCAGTGGCCTTATTACCACATTTACTGCTCCCGTCTTCTCAGACTGATCGGCAAGGATGCCTTCAAAGCTGGGGAAAGCTGTTGCAACGCTCTCGCTACATTCTCCATGTAGCTCATGCGCCATGTTTGTCGTTTCCTTTCCTCTGCCCGAATTGGGTACTTTTCCGACCCAATACAGCGAATATTAGTATGTGTATCCAAACCTTTTGATGCTCCTCCAAGCTGTAGAGGAACCCGTGGAACACAATCAGCCCAAGTGCTTGAAGGTGTTAGTAGAGCCTACCAGTCGCCTTTCACCCTTCTATAATTGAAAGCCGCAGAGACTCAAACGTTCTCACCCGAAATGCGCAGTGACATTGTTGTTCTGCTCATTGTCGCAGTTGATTGTCCTCGGCGGCAACGGCTTCGTCGGCTCCCACGTGGTCAGGGCGGCGATCGAGAAGGGGTACGAAGTCACGAGCATAAACAGGTAACGTCCCCCCTCCTTGCTGGCCTTTATTGAAGCCTCCCTTTGCTACCTTCCGTGTTTTTGCCCACTAGCTTATTTGCCTGGAAGCTTGTTGCGTCGCCTTCGGTGTGAATGTCTCAGCAGGATTTGAGTGTTCAAAAACAGTGACATTTACGGAGATGTAAAGGACTTCTTTGCGGAAGATACTGGTGATGACTGCGGCTAATGGGTAGGGTAAGGTCAGCTGCGGTTCCTCGTAGAGTCTGACTTCCGTAGCACGCGTGACAGGGTGGTCTGGTCATGGTTCAAACTCTCAGCCGTCTGATCCCAGCACGTGCCGCCAGATCTGTCTAATTTTGGCAACCCCAAAAAAGTGCTTAGGGTCGCGAAGGTTTAGAGCAGTTCGAGCATCGCAAAACCGCATCGTGGAACGAATAGCAGCCCCGACAATTCTCTAGCATTACTCAGTAGTCACCTGGCAACCCGATCGAAGTCGTCCTTCTGAAGTGCTTGTGTGCTGCCCGTTCACGTTTCAAAGTTACTTTTCCGTACTTTAGATATCTACATGGCGCTATTGGGATCCTTCTCCCCAAGCACGCTCACATTAACTCATCCAGGAAACGACCAGAGTGCGAGTGAGGTTCAGCACTTCCGAGCGTCTGGTTTAAACAGAGCCTCTATTTCATCAAAAGGGAAAGTTCGAGGAGGGTATTGGAACCCTTCTGTGTCAGATATTCACGCGTTCAGTCGTTTCCTTTCTCGAGGTAGGCTGTGGTCCTGAACAAAAACAAGAGAAGAACGAAGTAGGAAAGCCTAAAAGGCAAGAAGAAGATGAATCAAGAAGAGAAGAAGCTGAATGAAACCTCTCGTCCTTCGTCCGCAGGTCGGGGCGGCCCACAGTGGCCGAAGCCTGGGTCTACAATGCGCAGTGGATCACGGGTGAGTGGGTCACGTAACAGCCCCGCAAAGCAGATTGTTCCGCTGGATATTCGAGCCCCCTCTCTGCCGCGCTTGGGGTCGCTCCGACCGTTCGCCAGATACTGGAATCCGATCTCTAGGAAGCCGCAAAGCCCGTTATAGAAGCCCTCTTAAGTGGACAACTTTTCCTTTCTGCCGCCGTGTCCGCTGGTCTGGGGTTGCCTCTTGGCCCGTCCAACCACCGGTAGTTTTCACAGAAAGCCGAAAGCCCTTGGCCCCCAGCACGCTCAAACCCCTCATTCCGCTTGCGGCTACGAGGTCATCCCCGTTCAATCTCGAGAATCACCATTTCAGCGCATCCGCCGACATGACGTGCGGTAGGCGGGTTCGCTCATGCCAACCCAGAAGACCTAGAAATGTAGCAGTTTTCTGATACGCTCTCATCTGCCACGCAGCCGAACGTCTGTGGGCCTCGCGAGCTACTTCATGTGCGCCTCGGCCGCTTCGTCGTGCATCGTCCGTTTCTACTTTCCGAAACCTGCACACCTAAAGCCAAATTCTCCGAATGTAGATTTTTTTTAAGACCGATCGTTTGCTGTGCAGTCGACGTGTCTTCCGCGGACCTCGAGAGCTTCTTCGCGGGCGCGGGCGCGGCCGCCGTTCTGTCATGCATCGTTCCGTTTCATTTAAAATCTGCATTCTTGAAATATATGTCTTCCAATTTACCGCCCTCTCAACTTTCGTTTGTTGGGCAGCCGACGTCTTTTTCCGCGGACCTCGGGAGCTACTTCGCAGGCGCGTCCGCCGTAATGTTGTGCATGGGGGCAGGTTTACCAAGCCAAACCGTACAAATACACACCCCCATTTCGGTATAGCAGCACCTTGATACACTTTATTTTGCTGTGCAGTCGTTGTCTTTTCCGCGGAACTCGAGAGCCACTTTTCGGGCGCGTCCGCCGTCAGTTTGTTTACCCAAAATCCTCAGACACGCTGGGCTAAAATACTATTCCGTTGGGTGTGTAAACAAAAAAGCTCTCATCCGCTTCGTTTTGCTGTGCAGCCGACGTGTTTTCTGCCGATCTTGAAAGCTACTTCGAAGGCGCGTCTGCCGTCATGCCGCACTTGGGGCGGATTCATTGATCAAATTTTCCAAAGACTAGCACTCGGGCTTAGACACTGCATTGCATTGGGCTTGAACAATCAAAGCATTTAATTGTTCCGTGCAGCCGACGTCTTTTCCGCGGACCTCGAGAGCTACTTCGCGGGCGCGTCCGCCGTAATGTCCTGCCTCGGCGGCTTCGGCACCAACGAGCAGATGGAGCGCATCTGCGGCGACGCCACCGTGCGCGCCGCCGAGGCCGCCAAGAACGCAGGTGAGCGTGACGTCAGCGTCCCCTTCTTTCCTCTCGTGTCTCTTCCCTTCATTCCTTGTTGGTATCCGAAATCGCAGCCGAAGTCAGCTTTGTTGAACCGTCTGGGCTATGGGATTCAACACTACCCTGTGCGCCGCCAGGTTCGCTGAGGCTGCAGTAGTTAGCGCCTACAAGTGGATCAGCCTTAGCATGACGTCATCATCCTTGAGTCGAGGTCAACTTGTATGAACGAGAGTTTGGCGCGGTTGAGGATGACAGGTTGTGATGACGTAAGTGGTGACCTCAGTACTGTCCCGATGGAGAAAGTGCCTCGGCTCAAGGGGACTCAGTCCTCTTTTCCAAAACTGCTTTGGGAGCTTCCCCCTGCCGCGTCTATCTTATTGCCGAAATCTGTTCAGCGCTCAGGAATTGTTGAACTAATGTCGTTTCAAGCATCCCCCACTTGACGCACTCTCTTGGGCTGCCGCTGGAACGAACACCTCGCCTCCGAGAATTTCCACATTCCAGTCTTTTGCGTACGCATCTCGCACTTTGCGAAGCCTTTGGAGCGACCATCTTGGCGCTAGCGCGCACCGGACTTGTCGCCGCACTGACGTCACCTCTCCCGATTTGCAACCATCCTGCCCCTAGCACGCACCAGCCTTGTTGCTCTACCGACGTCACCTTTTCTTCTCGGCAGGCGTCCCGCGCTTCATCTTCGTCAGCGTGCATGATTACAATCTGCCGTCCGGGGTAAAGGACAGCATCGGATACTTCGTGGGCAAGAAGAAGGCGGAGGCGCGAATCGCGGAGCTCTACCCGGGTTCTGGTGGGTTATTCCTTAACCTCTTGGGTTTGCTTGTCTCCCTGGCCGCTTACTTTGACCCCGGGTGTCTTCTAACTCTCCCGGTAATCTGTCTGTTGTTGTCCCCAGAAACCGCCTTCCTTCTGCGGCTTGTTAGCTTGCGACTGGCTCGTGCGGCTTTGTCTTATTTCAACTTGCGAGCTGAGAGAAACTGAGGAGACATTTTGGAGTTGGCTGCCTTGCTCGTGAGTTCAACACGGCTGATCGGCTTGGGTTTTGATTTCTTGTGCAACGATCTGCATGCTTGTCAAACGTTGTTCAGCCCTTCGAATTTCAAGTAGACTTTGACGCAGTGCGGGCAGTCGTTCCAAAGCCCGGTTTTGCGCCTCACGTCAGCCTGACGTCCCGCCCCCCCCGTGCAGGCGTCATTCTGCGGCCGGGTTTCATCTACGGCTCCCGACGAGTCCCCCAGGCGAACAACGTCAGCATTCCGCTGACGCCGGTGGGCGCCGCCGTAGAAAAAAGTTTGTCCATTTTGCCGGACGCGCTGACGGACGCTCTCTGTAGAATCCCGGGTTCGGACGTCCTGATCGCGCCGCCGGTCGACGTGGAAGACGTGGCACGGGCCGCCGTTGAGGCCGTGAGGGATGAAAGTACTCCGGGCGTGCTGGACATCAAAGCGATCAAACGGATTGCTTCGAGCTCTCAACGATGAGACACACGTCTTTGTTCCTGACCGCATATACGGAGAGGAAGGAATGCTCAGTCAGTGGACCGAAAGGGTCCCCGTCAAGAAGACGCGTGCATTACGGTTCCGCTCTGAACATATAAAGAAGGCCTTTCAGGAAAGCGCTGATTCGACGCTCCAAGAACTCGTGCGCGTCTTGTTTTCGAGGCGCCTGCAAAACACACTTCTTTTGCAGTGCAATTGCAGTGTGCAATTGCAGTGCCCATGATCTGCAGCCAATTAAGACAACGTCTACGAGCTTGCCGTCCACGTTAGGTAAAGTCAAGTTGGGTGGAAGGTGTGTTTCAAATTCAACACACCCTAAAGCCTGAAAATGCTTGCAGCAATACTCCGCCCACATGAAGTTCAGCGCTCTAGTCGTACAACAAATTGACTGTAAATCAATCTCGGTCTTGCATGGGATCGCGACATTACGTTCGGCCCCTGCAGTGGCTCATGCCATCATCTGGCACAGCTATATATGCTGAAATGTCTTTTCTATGCAATACGCAAGTACGTTGTTGTATTATGCGGGGCAGCGTGCATCATGCCATGATGGCATCATTGCAACCAGAATGCCATCTCGTTGACAATTCAACAACTTAAAAGGTACGTGCACATCATGCATCATCCTCACTTTTCAAAACGCCGTAGCCACATGGGCTATACACTTCCATGGATGATACAATGTTTGAGTTCTGAACGATCAGAATGCGGCAACCATGCCTTAGATCCATTGACATAGTTGATGCGAATGTATTGAACTCGGATTCAACTCGAAATTAAAGCAACAAGAGTCGCAATGATTGTTGCATGCTCATGGTCGTGAGTTTTTCGTAATGCGGCAGCCTCGGCTTTTCGAGATTCCTCTCGTGAGATGCGGCCCTGATGGAGCCCTGATGCATGCACCGGCGTATCTTCCAACGTATGTTTTCAATTGTTTAGGCACTGTTCGACTCGCTTATTTAGTTTCAGCGTTACAATATTATGCTACCGGTATGCTTCCATGCTTACAATTGCATTTTATCTACTTAAGTTTTAAAGTCTGATCAACACGCGTCCGATTCGCTCCGTGTTCGCTCCATAGCTTGAACGTTAGCGGTTTGGCTGACGCTTCACATGCTTTGTACTAGCTTTATTCTTACATTGCCGTCGCTCGAAGATGATTGACCTTCTAGTATCACATTTCTGTTTGCCAGACCCTCCCAAATAGCAGACATGGAGGATGCGATCGATCGCGTCCCTTGCACGAGCAGTAGCCTAATAGTCATACTGCTTTGAGCAGATCCCATAAATCTTGAGAACATACCCTCGCAATGGGTAAGCCATTCGTATAATCCGGCGCATGCTGGAGAGGGTTCACATTGGACTTTCGATCAACTTTCGCTTTGTTTTGAGATGTACCCAAATGACGTGTGCTGACGTTGTACCAGCGAGTTCCGAAGTTGGGTTCACATAGGGAAAACCATTGTCGAATGCATCACCAGTTTCGGCGGAGACAACGTGCGATCACGTGGATGTACAAAATGGTACACTTGGTACACTTTGACGTCATAACATTCGGCCGAACTGCGCATCGGTGAATCTGAGCCACTCGATCGCTGAGTCGGACGTCATAATCGTAAAACATGTTTTCGAAAGGCGGTCGCCGACCGCCTTTCGAAAACATGTTTTACGGATGACATTTTGGTCCGTTCTTCGATGCCGAAAGCTTTTTGATGTTCGTAACTTTGACCGTTGGCAAAGAGCGTTCCGGACCATGACGTGTGCTTCCGTCACTGCAGTAACTTCGTGTTTTCGAAGGAGGATAATCTGTTCCGGAAAGTCCAATGTGAACCCTCTCCTGCCTTTGAGAGAAGTAAGTTGCGGGAACAATGGTCCGAGCCCGGTCCGAGTACCTAATCTTATATCTTGTCAATGTCGAGATGTCTCGCCAATGGTCTTTTTTCGTTTGCTAACGCGTCTATGCTCAACCTACCAGGTGCTTTTACTCACATGTACAATCTTAAATCTTACAATCTCTAGAGGAATTGAACTCAGTGGTGCTGAACTGCAACGCCGAACTGAATGCGGAACTGGTAAGTTTCTGTAAATGCTAGCTCGAGCCATGTAATCAACCGCATACACGTAAGCGGCTTAACTAACTTATACCCGGATACCGACCGGCGGCGCCACAACCACCATAAAGTTCTAGCTGGCTTCGGGCTGGCTTCTTTGAAACTGTTGGCATGTTTGCTTCAACCGAATCCCGATCCGCCGGCGCCGAGCCTCGAGTCCAGGAGACAAGTAAGAGATCCACATCGTGCGGTACGGACTGCGTCTGCGCGACTCTTTTCGACCCATCCATGATCCAACGTACAGCTTCTTACCCGTCCGTCGATCTACCGGTAACCGGTAGGCTCGAGAGTCGAGAGTCGAGACTCTCGACTGCAGCAGATGGCGGTATGCCGACTCCGTAGGCGCGGGAGGACCGTACTTGGAAGCGGCAAATATACCTAAGTGGAATATTAAAGCGGAATCAAGCGGCAACTTGCCTCCGACGGCCGGCCCGGCGGGCCCCGGCCCCGGCCACCGCCGTGGCCGAATTCATCATTGCGAGTTGGTTGGAATGTGGAAAGGAACGCCGACGCCCATGCGCGGAACCGCCAAGATTAACAGTTCGGTCTACCGGCCTAAACATTTGAATGCTGGTAGGTCGGCCATCGAATAGCCGCGCGCCCGTATTCGAATCTTTCAACGTTCATCGAACAAAATTCTGCCTCGAAAGACCCCAAATTTTTCGACGAATTTCGAAACCTGTTCTATCAAAGAGATAAAGATTTTCGACAACACCTTCTTTGATTCGGATCGACCAGTCACCAGACGGACTTCCTGCTGCACATCAGAAATATTCGCGGATCGGATCCATAATATCTGGTCCGATCCGCGAGTCGTGTTTCGGCTCCTACGTGTACACAGTACGGTAGGAATCAGGATAGGTACCGGTAGGCCATCCACACTGCACAGTGTCTGACGCAGTTCTTGATGTACGGGAAGAGCAGGTAGGTACGGTACACAACCTCTCTTCGGGTTTACGTACCGAATTCCGACGCCAGCTGAACGCTAGCTGTATTAGATAGGTCTCGATTTCATGTTGACTAAGGGCATGTTGACTAAGGGAAGGCACCCGGGGGACGGGTAGGGTCGGTTTGGGGGTTAGGGTGGGTACGGGTGCGGAGCGTGTGTTAACTATCGTTTTAGGTTTTTAGGTTTGTTTGTGCCCCGAGCACTATCCTTAGTCAACATGCGCTTAGTCAACCTGAAATCGAGAAGTATCTGTATAAGTTCCATCTACGGTACCTAAGTAGTAAGTACGTAGGTACCTACCTATGTACAAACAACTCATGCGTGCAACCCAGTGCGGCAGTGCACCTCTGCAGGGCCCTGCAATCATTAAATGCAGTAACCGCCTGATCGCGCAAGTTGGATATTCGCTGAACCCATGGCAGACAGTACGGTAGAGCTCTGCGTGCAAGCATGGAAGCTGACCGTACCGTCAGATCACTGCAGTACGGGTCGAGACTCGACAACGGCAGCTGCCTTCCTCCTCATCTTAAACATGATTACTGCGAATACCGTACGCGGCGCAGTCACAGAGCCAGACTCTCTGGGGTCTGTCCCCAGAGAGAGCTCTGTCCCCAGCTCTCTTGGGGAGATGTGTTGCCCCAATTCTGTGGAAGGCGAAACGTCGCCGCCCAAGGTAGCTGGAGACTGCTTGTCCGAGGTCGGATGGCGCGGGCATACCGATGTCCAACAGGTGTCACGGACTGAGCTTCTCGACGTCCAGATAGGAAGAAGGCTCCCGTCAGCTGGGCAGACCCCAGCTCAGTTTCCATGCGCCGTTTAACAAACGGTGTACCCAGCCGCTTGTGTGATGAGGGGGCCCTTCGGCTGCTTCCAAGTCCGGCATCGCTTTGCGTTTCGTTTCAAAGCTCGAAGCGCAGTCCAATCTGGTCAACAACATGTGCTTGCAGTTCGTGCCATCCGTGAGAAAAGCGTCAGGAGAAAGTTAGTGTGCCAAACTTCCATTGCCACACCGTGAGAAGCTTTTTTGAGTCGGTCTAGGTCACGTTTGTTTACAGGCTCTTCGTCTCAAGATACTTTGAATCACCTTTTTCCAGAAAAGAAGCACTTTTGATGACATGGTCGTTTGGGCTCTGTCAGAACTGAGTTGCCAAACGAAGGTGGTGGTGGTTCTGGTGTCGCCCGGATGGCATCCAAGGGTCCTCGTGTCTAATTAAAGCGGATATCTAGAGAGCGTTCTCTCTGCATTGCAAGATTAAGGGACACTCTTCATACGAGCTGCCGGGCTTTTACTGTGATCACCGGAAACCGGCGCCCAGGAGCCATGTTGATAGTTGCACTGTAGAATAATGCTATCTAGGGGACCTCATCTCTTTGTGGGTAACTTGGAAGGTGTTGAATGTACGGGCTTGCAAGAGTGTAGCAATGGCGGTCAGGTTCTAAAGCCAAGAACAACCGCTGAAGGGAGACTTGCAACCGCGTAGCTTATGATGCTTTCAGCGCAGAGCCAGAGGCATTGCACACATTCATAGCGCCTCCCATCAACATCAGCCAACACCAGAGCCCACAGAGATACAATTTGGATCAGGCTCTTGACAGCTGTTGTTAAGGAGCAGAGTATCTAGTTTGACACCTGGGGGGTGATGTAACATTTTGTTGCGGACAGCTGTCTCCCGGCGCTGCCAGCTGTCGCTACGAGCACGCGGCGTCAACACGGGGCATCATGAAGAAGAAAGCGGAGGGGGCGGCCTCCAGTTCCGGGACGCAGGAGAGTCAGTCTGCGGCGGAGAGTCAACCCAGCTTGGAGGTGCTCGCCGCGTTTCAGCACCAAAGCGATCCAGGTAAATTGACGGCCTACAAATTGCCACTGCTGACGCTGTCCGCTTTCTTGCTTTCTTGGTGCAATCTTCTTTCTTATTCTATTGCATGTTTCCAAAGCGGGAGGGGCTTGTTAGTGAGTGTTATCCTCTGTGTATGTCCACCCAGATTTTCCTCTTTCTTGCCTAACATGAAACATCTTTATTCCCCCCCATCTCCAGCATTTTCCAGAGAGCAAAGGGCCTTGTCAGTGTAAGATATTTGCAGTCCGCTTGTGGAGACTTTGTCTTCTAGCGAGCCTTGCCACACAGACTCTCTGCTTTACCAAGATTAGTTTCACCTCCTCTGGGTCCGATTTGTTGCATCTAGTTGCCTCTCAACCCCCGCTGAGGAAGGCAATGGGTTCATCTTCCCCTCTTCAAGAAGCTTTTCTGGGCTTGTAACAAACAGCGCTGCATGCAAGAAAGCCCCTAAAAGGGGTTATGGTTCGGCGGGTCAGAAAGTGTAGTACACAACTTGTTCTGGAAAACAGAGACTAGTAGGGATCAGAAAGACAGGAGTTCAAAGGAACTGTAGGGAGTCTATTGGGAGGGCATAGAGTCTCCTGAATAGATCAAGGGCACTTCCAGAGCTCCTGGCTTTGTCTGAAGGAGCGTGCAGCTATCCCCAGACTTCTGGTAAGAAGGTTATGTGTTGACAAAAGTCCAGACCGCACCGCAGTGTTGCTTGTCTTGAATTGTTCAGGCCTGATCTTGACCCACTTTCTGGAAAGAAAGCAGTCCTTCCCTCTTGGCAGACCTTCTTCATAAAGCTTCTTGAGTTCCCGCAAAAGGGCTTTGTTTCTTCTTGTTCCTTTTCCTCTGTTTCCTCTCAATCATGGGCTTCATCTGTTCAGACAATCAAGCAATTTCTTAGCTGTCCTTCATTGCTCTCTCCTCTTCTCTCTCTCTTCAAAGCCTGAACTCGGACAAGTTAAGGGGACTGAGAGGTTTATGATGCTTGAAGAACAGGCTTCATCAAGACATCCTTAATCTTTCCAGTTCATGCTTGGACATCTCACACGAGCATCTCCAGAATAGTTTCTGCACTTGATGTGAACACAATCAAAGCTAGTCAAAAAAGGCTGAAAGGTCAAAGCTGAGCCATCCCCAAGCTATGTGGCACTTGGCTTTATGCATTAATGATGCAGACGAGACAAGGAATGGAGACATGAGCAAAAGTGTGAAATGCAGCCATTTTCAGGAGTCTCACATGCTCATCTCATTGCGGGGCCTATGCTGATTCTCTGACGGCGTGTTCATCTCACAGAGCCAAAGCTAAGAAGCAAGAAGCTCTTGATCCGATCTTCCTAGCCCGCCAACCTACCCAGGTTCTACTAAGACCTCCCAGGGTCTAGACATTTGAAATGAAGGAGGCATTGTTTGGCTGTTTGCCTTACGGCAATTCCTATTGCAGTCCCCTTACTGCAGACCTTGCAACGAAAGAGAGGACATGGGATTGATTGATCAGATGCACCAGAGAGCCCCATCGATTCTCATCCCAGGGATCCATATCATTCTTGCCATCTGGATTGGCAGGGGCTGCAATCTTTCTGAAAAACGTCCTTTTATCAAGTCACTCTTCCCAACCCCCCTGGTTCCAATCCAAACCCTTTTGTTCCAAACCAAAACCTTGGTTCCTACACAAAACCTCCCAGGAGTCCCCAAAACATTGCTTATGGACTTCCTAACTAACGCCCTTTGATCAGTCTTCCTGCAAAATTGGATATGAGTTCTCTGACGACCTGCTAACACGTTTTTCAGAAACCCCTGCAGATTCGATACGGAGCCTCCATGTCTACGCTCAGGGTGCCTCCCTGTTTGCTATCCAACAAGACCTGATGCTGTCTTCTCCTAGTTACCGTGTGTTGAACCAACCTTTGAGGATGTAAGTTTCCCAAACCCCTCTAACACCTCTTGACCCTTTGGGAAGGGAAGTTCTGCATCCTAGTAGAAACCCTTACAGTCAACAAGCCCTGACAACTTGGCGTTCGCTTCCTTACAATCTGGCGGCGGCTTCCCACAGATCCGTTTCTTGTACTTAGTTCAACGCTGAGGCGTTGATGCTTAGCCGCAAACAGAAGTCACACAATTTCGGCCTTGCAAGTGACTCGCTGCTCCTAGTACGCTCTGAAAAAAGTCTGGAGACAACCATCGTCCGATGGTTGATTGCTGTCGAGCTCTGGACTTTCGACATCAGCTTCATTAGCAAAGGTTTGAAACCTCATCAGATCATCCAGACTTCAGGATCGTGCAAGAAGGGAGTATCTCCTTTCAGCAGTCAGGATTTCCAACCCCATTTATATCATTCTGTCCCCAGTTGCTCCCCCTGAGGCCCCACATCTCTACCTCGGATGTGGCCCCTTCCCAATCTGCACCCGTCCCTTCTTGACACGTGTCCGCTTCTTACAGGATGCTCCCCTCCTGGTCTGCTATGGCGGGCTTCGTGGATAGCCAAAAGAAGGGCCACGCCGCGGGGGGGTGGATCTGCATCCTCGACTTTGCTGTTTATGACCCCCTACCCACGTCAATGTGCCCATTGCTGGCGCCCAGCAGGTTCGTCACGGTTTTTTCGCCGCTTGGATTGCCACTAAAAGCCAAACCAGTCTGCACTGCGTTACCATGTAAGCGCGGATCGACCGCCCACTAATTATTTGAAAGAACTTTTTGCTCTCAGTCCCTCCGTCCACCAAAGCCGTCTGTGAGCTGCTCAACCGCCACTAATCCGACCCTCGCGTTTGAGGAAACCTCTTTCTGTCCACCGTGGCTCTCTTCCTCGACTCGTTTGACACAGATTGATTTCTTACCTACCTTCGCCTTCGGTCCCCGTTTGCAGGAACCCGCTTTTACTCACCCAACTCTTGGGGTTTGCAGAGACCTCTTTCTGTCTTAGCTTGCCACCTTTTCCACGACTAGATTCATGTCTGACTTACTCTCGGTTTATGTACCGGTTTGCAGGAACCCGCTTCTGGGCAGCCTCCCCTCCGTGTACTCTGACCTGGTATTAGTCGAGGCCGTCATCAAAAAGGGCGCGGAGGGCGGCCGCGCCGAGCCGACGCTTCGGCCAACCCAATGGTCAGACATAACCTCGATCTCGACCTCAACTTCAGTCCTGGTCTTGGTGTACGATTTCAGAGCAGCAACAGGTTTCCTCTTATCAACTCTTAAAGCAGATATGTGGTCTACGGTCTTAGGCAGCACTGCACGGTCAACGTGGCAGTTTGTAAGGTCAAGTCATTTCGAAGACCTGCGGGTCTGAAGCTCTCCCTGTTCCTCAAAAGTCGAAGCGACTCACTAATCTTAATCTGGCGGATCTCAACAAAGAATAGTAGCTGCTGAGCTCGAAGACCTTCCGCTTTGCTTCCTTTTAGGTATATCCATCTGGCCTTTTCCGTTCCGCTCGGTCTCATCACATTCCGTCTCCCGCTTGTTTCCGACCGAAAGACCGCAGTGCTTGGCACGTCAAGGTTATAACATTATCCACTTTAAAGGTGGGTGCAGAAGAAAGACGAAGTCAGAACGAAACTCTGCAGACCACTTGCTTATGTTCTAGAATTTGTTCCGGTTTGCAGCATTCCGTCCCCCCCCACTGCGTGCGTCAGCCAAGAGAGCGACGCCCGGAACTCCGTTCCGTTCATCGGAAGCCGCGTGCACCGGAGCCTTTCGTTGCCCAGCCCGCGGCAAGGCAGCATGGTCGAGTCGAACTCGCCCAACGGCTCTCTCTGGAACGATGTCGACTCGTTTACTGGTGAGAAGGATGTCAAAGTCATGATGTGCGAATCTTTGTGAATCTTCGTGAAAGCGGTCTCTAGCTGGTTCTGAGGTTTCCTGGGTTGCTGCAAAATCTGGCGGTCGGAGTATGGGTAACCAGTTTGACGACATGGGGAGAATCGGATCGCGGTTCTGGATTCTGTTGGTGCTGTAAAACTTGGCCGCCAATCGAAGAGTGCCGAAATGTATCAGAAAACTTCGCAGACATTGAGGTCCGAACCTAAACTGTCCTCTCCTTGTATTTGCGTCCCTTGCGTATCCCCCTCGCCCTCTCGTTGATTCAACCCCGCTTTTTCTGTGGGCAGATCTTCTCTCGTGCGCCCAGTCCCCGGGGATCCCTTCGTGTCCCCTGGTTTCGCTGCACCCCAACTTCCCGTCCCCAACTAAGTCACCCGGCCCCTCTAACCCGACGACTCAAAGATTGGATAAGGGGCCGCACCCGATGTTGACCTCTCCAAATACTCGGGCCGCAGGACAGTTATATCCACCCCCTGGCGGTGAGTGTTCAGCTTTCTTAAGCAGAGCTTTACAAGTGACAAGTGACTCGTTGACTGGTTGACTTTCCACTTGAATGGTTGACTTTAAGAGTTTGGACTACTTGGCAGCGACACAAGAAGCCAACCAGACTTTGGCACGGTATAGTCAACAAGGGCCGAAAAGACTGTGTACTACGATCAAAAGCGTAGGGAATGACTGATGAGGGAGTCGTCCTTCTCCTTGTGATGTTTGGTCACACGCTCACAATGCGGTCAGAGTGTTTGAGTTTCGAGAGACCTTTGCAAAGATGACTGATGCGGTTAAGTAGGGCAAGAAGGCCCAACTAATGAAAAAAAGTTGGCGAGCCATCGCTACGGACATCTTCATTTTTCGAGTCACGGGCGCTCATTGGTTGATTCAAGGACAGCTTCCTAGCTTCCGATTGCCTTTATGTTGCTGAGGTATTCAAGTTTTACATAATTGACGAAATTGACGAACGAGAAGGGATTTTCTCGCTTGCCCGCCCACCAGAATTTCGATACGAACACATTCGGACGACCCCTAAGTTTTCTCTGCCGGAATGCGAAAAGTGTGACGCTCGGTAGTATCCTTCAAAGCTCCTTACAATCAATTTTCCGGCCTGATTTAGTAGTTTGATGCTCCCGCAATCTGTCGCCTTTCTCACTCGAATCACAGACCCGTCACTTCGCTACTTCTGCTGGAAAGTCTCACAAAGAAAAGTGAAAGAATTGGCAAATCAAACAATTCTTTCCAGGCTTCGGAGGACGGCCCGGTAGCGAGCCCCGGGCAGACCCCGAGAACTTCCCCTCCCCAAACTTCGTCCCGTTCATCCCGGGCTTCATCTCCGACCGCGCCTGGGGTCCGTGGGCCCACGTCACCGGCTACTCAGACTTCCACCAACAGCTGGCGTTTTTAGCGGAGTACCCCGCCTTCATTCCCCCGGACGTCACCCCCGGTTCCTTGTACGACGACCTGCGTCAGCAGCAGGAGGAGCGGGGGGATCCCTCCGACCAGGAAACGGAGGGCCTGCTTTACCGCCCACCCCCGCGGTTGGAGATTCCAGGCTCTCCTGGCCTCCCGGAGGTCTTTGCTGACGACACCTCATCCGTCGTCCCCGAGAGGAACCGGTCCCTCTTGCCGAGGAGCCGGAGCACCATACCGAGCGAACGGCCGGCGAAAGACGCCGCGCCCTTCCAGAGGGCGTCCTCCGCCCCCGCCTCCGGCCCCCCCAGCACGAGCCTGCCGTCCCTTGGGGATTCCCCTCTAGTCGACCCTGCCCTCCTCTCGCCGATCGCGGGGGGGCTCGCGACCCGCGAGAATGACCCCCCCGCGAGCCTCTGGGTGTGCATAAACGCCGAGGCATCGGAGGGGGTTCGCCCCGGGGTGTCCTTTCTTCCCCCGGGGGGGTCCATTTCCCGGGTGAGAATCACCCCCTTGCCGGTTGACGGCGACCAGATGAACCAGATGGCCCCCGAGTTCGAGCCCCGGTTCCTGCCCACACCGAACGCCGTCCACTTGGGGGATCCCCCGGTCCCCAACATCTCCCCCCGGCGGTCTGAACCGGATGACGACTTCATGACCGAGGCCTCAATCCTCACGGATTCCAGTGTCTGCCGCGACTCCCCGCGCTCTCCGCTGTCGGAACAAGGCGCCGGAACGGAATTCCTCGACCCCAGAGACACCCCTGGGGACCAGTCCCCGGTCTCCCTCACGCAGGCGTCGGTACGGACCGTCTTCATGTCGCGCGACCCGAAGCGCGCGACCGCGCGCATGGAGCGCATCACTCTGGAGGAGATGCAGACGTACTTCGACGTGCCGATCGTGGGCGCGGCGCGGCTGTTGGGCGTCGGCCTCACGGTGAGGGGTTTAGGCAGGGTTTAGGACATCACGCTCTCAGTATCGAGAGGGGCTGGAATGCAAAGCTGCTGGGCGTCGGCCTTACTGTGAGAGTTAGAGGGAACTCAAGTAGATTCAGAAGCCACAACTGCAACGAGTTTAATTGTGTTTGCACGATGCGGGGCGTTGACCAGTAATAAAAGCTTATATTCTAAGATTCAGGAGCTTCGGGTTCGTAATCTCAAAGCGTCCGGTTATGTTGCAAAGCCCGTGGGCGTTATCGACTCGCTGCAGTGGGTTAGGAATTTCTGGTTCGAAGGTTTTATTAAAGTGAGAAAAGTGAGGATCGCGGAAGTCTCTGTTTGTGTCTGCAAGTAAAAGGCTGCAGGGCGGTGACTTGATTCTAGGGCTGCTCTTCGGCATGTTCATATGCACTACCTCTCCCCTCTATCATCGGCTTTAACCCTACACACTTCTAGATTCTTGCTAAACCTCGTCCATTTTCCCCGCCCCAGGTGTTGAAGACTGTGTTTTCAGGACTTCGACATCCCCCGCTTGACCACACGATTTCCACCCGGGCTCAGAAACTGGAATAAGCCCGAACCACTCCTTCCCTGCTCAGCCTCACCCACACTTCCTTCCCCAGGTGCTGAAGAAGCGGTGTCGGGACTTCGGTATCCCCCACTGGCCGTACTCACACCACTCCACCCTTGCTCAAACACATAGGTTTCGCTTCCTTTCAAAGCCCGCCCAATTTGCCCCCCCCAGGTGTTGAAGAAGCGGTGTTGGGACTTCGGCATCCCCCACTGGCCGTACTCACACCACTCCACCCGCGCTCAAAAACATAGGTTTCGCTTCCTTCTAAAGCCCGCCCAATTTGGCCCCCCCAGGTGTTGAAGAAGCGGTGCCGGGACTTCGCCGTATTCACACCACTCCACGCGCTCAAAAACATAGGTTTCGCTACCTTTTAAAGCCCGCCCAGTTTGCCCCCCCCAGGTGTTGAAGAAGCGGTGCCGGGACTTCGGCAGCCCCCACTTGCCGTATTCACACCACTCAACCCGCGCTCAAAAACATAGGTTTCGCTTTCTTCTAAAGCCCACACAATTCTGCCCTCCCAGGTGTTGAAGAAGCGGTGCCGGGACTTCGGCATCCCCCGCTGGCCGCACCGCAAGATTAAGAGCATCAAGGTGCTCATCGACAACATCAAAGAGTTGGCCGACCCGAAAGACAGCTCCTCCGTTCCTGCTGCCTCGGTAAGGACTTCGACGCATAACGTGGACACCTCAAGTCCGCATCCCTCAATGGGTATGGAGTCATTGGACCGTCGACTTTTACGATCCTTTGAAGAGCGAGTCTTGGAAGCTGTAAGGAAAGCTTGCTTTACGTTCATGCTACGCATCTGGGCTTTCTCGTCTATCTTAAACCGTCCTGAAATCTGGATCTCCTCTTGCGAACAGCAGCTTGACTGACGTGCTGACGGCTTCTCAGATCCTGATGTCCCTCTCGCTCCACCCTTTCTCAAGGCTTTCGGATCGAAGGCTCACTCTACCACCCGCCAGCAATTGCGCCCTGTTCCTTATGAAGTGCGACCAAACCCCAAACCCTGCGCGCGCGCGCAGTTCGGCGACGCCGTGCAGCGCCTCGAGATGGAGCGCGCGCAGATCGCGGGGCGGCCGGCCATCCGCATGGCGGAGGAGACGCTGAAGCTGCGCCAGGCGTGCTTCAAGGCCAACTTCCGCATCCGGGCGCAGGCCTCGGGGCGCAACACCGGGCGGAAGGCTGCGCCGAGCGCGGGGGGCGGCCGCGGTTCGGGGAGGTCGCCCTCGGCGTCGTCACGTGTCGCCTGCGGCATTGGGCCGCGAAGCCGCTGCTGAGTGCGGGGGGCGGCCGCGATTCGGACGTCGTGTGAACGATGTGGGCGGCCGCTGCCACGTGTCGCGGGCGGACGAGTTGTAAACAAGTTGTAGACATGCTGGTTACTAGTAGGCCTTCGGTTTATATATGGTGAACCGGAGTTTTGGACCGTTCGATCAATTGGTTTGGGGTTGGGATTTGGGGTCTAAGGCGCGCTTAAGCCGGCGTAAGAGAACGAGGCGGTGCTTCTCGCGTATTTGTTTGCTTCGCTAAGGTACCAGCCACCAAGCGTGGGGTAAGGTTTAGTACAGTAGGTTAAGGGGGACCGTGCCGATGGCTGCGGCTGGTTCGTTAGTAAGTCAGACCTTTATGGTCATCGCT